TCGGCCGGGGTCTGGGCAGCGCCCGGCGCGACGGGGCCCTGATCTCAGTTGGGGTCTGGGCAGCGCCCGGCGCGACGGGGCCCTGATCTCAGTTGGGGTCTGGGCGGAGCCCGGCGCGACGGGGCCCCGATCTCGGCCGGGGTCTGGGCCTGATCTGTGTCTCTCAATGCTCCCAAAATGCAATGAGAGCCGGGCGCGTTTGGAGCCAGGAGCCGTTTGACGGTCAGGTCTCCTGCTGGGTGTTTCCACCTCTGCTCCCGGGATCGCTCTGCCTGGAAGCGCCGGCAAGGGGCTGAGCCGCGTTAACCACGCGGTTCCGCGGCAGGGAACCGAACCGGCGCCTTTCCTTTCTGCAGGAGCCACCAGAACTTCCAGCTGGCCCAGGAGTGGATGCAGCAGCTGAACGATCACTGGGATCTGCAGCGTTTCTTGCAGAACTGTCAGGAGGTACGGACGGATCCAGGCCCGGCCCCGGGTGGGGCGAGCGGGGCTGAGACACGGACCCGTCGGGATGGCCAGGCACAGCGGCGCTCTGCACCAGTTCCTCGCCGAGCTCCGGGAAGGATCAGGGAGCGCCCTGGCTCCAGAGGGCCCCGGCACTGGGGGGCCCGGTTTTCGGAGCGGGGGGCTCAGCACTGTTTGAAGTCGGGGGGACGCATGGGGGGAGTTTGACTCCCGGTCTCCAAACCTCTCCCCCCCAAGCCGGCTTTGGGCTCCCTCGTCCGGCCAGGGCGCTGCCACCCCGCAGTGCCAGGGGGCCCGGGGAGGAGGCGAATGCAGGGGCCGAGGCTGGTGGGAACGTCAGGGTGGGAACCAGGGCAGGGGGCTGGGAATCCCCGTTGGGAAGTAGAGTCCAGCCAAGTCTCCCCCCTCCCCCAGCTGTGCCCACAAGCGCCGGCCTCGGGGCACGGACTGAGCCTTCGCGGTGCTGGGCTGGGAACATGGCAGCTCAGCCCTCATGTGTCTCCTCGTGGGGACCAGCGGGATGGCCAATGCCCCGGGCACCGCCAGGCCACGCGGGCTGCAGCTGGGGGGCGCGCCCAGTTCTGCGGGGAGGGGCAGGACACAGAGCTAGCGAGGGGCTGCCCGTGGCAGCCAGGGGGGCGGACGTGGGGAGGGAGGACGGCGGCTGCTGCCAGGCAGAAGGGGAGCCCCATGCATCCCAGAGCCGAATTCAGCCCCAGCCGCCGATTAGTTCAGTAGCTAAATGTATTCAGGCTCCTGCCTCATTTGCGTGGCGAGCCCTGCCCCCACCCAGCGCCTGCCTCTAATTAGGGCAGCTGGCACGTGTTTCCAGGCAGCGCGGGCGCTATGGTGATGAATTGTGCTGGGGGGAGAGGGACAGGCCCAGCCAATGGCGCTCCGCAATCTGCCCCCTTTCTCCGAGCTGGCACCGATGCTCACGGGCAGTTCGGGGCCTGAGCCGGCCCTGGGCACAGCTGGGCATTGACGAGGGGCCGCGGTGCCCCCGACTTTCCTGCTGGGGCCCTTAGCTCAGGGCTGCCCACAGAGCACGTGAGTGTGGGTTGGGATGGAGGCGCATTGGCAGAGCTGGGGGGGCGGGGAGTCCAGGGCTGGGGTAGCAGGGGCTATGGGTCGGGAGTGAGGGGGCACCGGCAGAGCGTGGGGGGGGACAGGGGCTGGGCTGGCAGGGGCTGCGGGTCGGGAGTGAGGGGCACCGACGGGGCTGCGGGTCGGGAGTGAGGGGCACCGGCAGAGCTGGGGGGGGACAGGGCTGGGCTGGCAGGGGCTGCGGGTCGGGAGTGAGGGGCACCG